CAAAGCAGTGTCACATGACACCACTTTGCCCCATTTGGATCTGCCATTGGATAAAGATAGAACACACGCTTGATAAAATTCTTCGCATATCTGCAAATCCAACTACTTTCCTTATTATCATGACCTTCATTGCAAAGCTTGTTGAACCGTTATTGCTCCATGACATACCCTCCTAATAGGGGTGTCCATCTAGGCCGACCTGGAAATCTAGGTTTAGGCCATGCAAAAGACCCTGCCCGGACACGAACCAGAACCCGAGTGTATCTAGCCGAGCACCAATCCAAGGGAGGGCACAGTTTCGAGCTGGGCATCTAGTCGACCGGGCTTTTCTTTTCCTTTATTTCTCAAAAAGTTATAATTGTTTTGCAAAACTCTTGCAAAAAAAATGTGACTTATAAGTATATATATATATGGGTAATGTTTTCCTAAGGTGACACCTTAGATTCCCACCTAAGAACGCGGCCTAAAATCACATCATTCCCTAATTCTTTTTTGCGATCCACTTCGTTGAACTTGATCTACAACACTTTCCCTATATATATATATATATATATATATATATATATATATATGGGTAATGTTTTCCTAAGGTGACACCTTAGATTCCCACCTAAGAACGCGGCCTAAAATCACATCATTCCCTAATTCTTTTTTGCGATCCACTTCGTTGAACTTGATCTACACGTTCTTAAACCCAAACACACTAATTTTAGGGTGAACCCGTCGTGTTTTGACCATTCATTGAGCCGTGCAAAAAGTTCTATTCATTCAAAATCGTTAAAATTGCGATGAGTGGATGAAGGGTCAAAACATGACGGGTTCACCCTAAAACTGGTGTATTTGGGTTTAAGAACGTGTAGATCAAGTTCAACAGAGCGGATCGCAAAAACAAATTAGGGAATGATGTGATTTTAGGTCGCGTACTTAGGTAGGAATCTAAGGTGTCACCTTAGGAAAACATTACCCTATATATATATACCAAGCACAAATTTTGTGCTTGGTAGTGAGGTATCTCATTCCCATCCACTCATTCAATTGGGGGGACCATATTCAACCCATGTGAATGTGGTCCCCACTTTTGAATGAGTGGAGGATAATATGCCACCT